TCATGTTGGTGTAAAACTAAAAGTCATGTAAGTCAACCCATCATTCGTTGTCAGTGTTTCTTGTTTCAATCGATCTATCAATAAACTCCAGAGTTGGGTAAATATATTGGTATTATAAACACAAAACTCCGATATGTAATGTTTTCACGAAATGTGATTCGATTTTATCTGGAACTTTTGCCATCTACGAATCATTTACTATTCATTGTTAAAAATTTGAATGGTCGATTCTAGTAAAGTGTGATCATTTTCTTGTGAGAAAAATATAAATTTAGTCTGAGGAATTTGTCTTTTGAAGAGTTTATCTAAAAGTATAATACAATTGAAAAAGATAAATTTGATTAATTAATCTTTTGGAATCTCAAAAGAATACCAAGTTGCTTCACACTAATATGATCATTTCAAGAAATTGTAGCAAATAAGACATAATAGATTAGTTCATGCATGCCCACCCACGAAAACGAAGCCTCATTGACATTTATTTATTTTTGGTCGCGAAATATATAAATACAGAAATAAAACAGATACATAAATAGCATTATTAAAAATCATGTTGGTGTAAAAAGTATTCATCTAACTCAACCCATCATTCGTTGACCCATTGGAGGAGCCATCATCTCTTGTTGTTGAAGCATTCGTTGCTTTTGCACATTCCCAATCCATCCTATATTACACCATGCAAGATATAAACCAAGTCAATTAAACATTAGAAAACAACAACAAAAATGAATAATTTAAAATACTTTCGTTAGAATATTTCAGAATATTGGTTTACCAATGGCAGGATCAAGGCCACGATTCTTGAGTTCACGATATTCTTGACAAATTGCACAATAATCACAGAAAAAATGAGTGATCCAATCAGGAGCTGGAGCCTCCGGTAACCCGAATTTCATTCGGAGCTTGGTCCGGTATGTGCATGAGTATACAAATGGTATCCAAAACAGACAACATATGCATCCATATAACATTCCACCCGTCGCACAAGCTACACACATACACATAAATACGTTAACTTACAAAAAAAAATATATTTTTTGATTGGTAACATTATGGAATAGTGGGAAAAAAAAATATATATGAAATAAAATAACATGGTCCTTAAGTAAAACAAAGCAAACGGAGACACAAAATAATTGATGAAACATTAGATACATGTACATGATAGATGAATATACTTACTGGTTGCGCCTTCATCGATTATCTCTGCGATCTGTCCGAACGTGACGAACGGAAAGCAACATGTGATGATAGCTGATCCGAAAACATAAAGAAGACATCAGAAACATTATGTAATGAAACGATGGACCACATCAAAATGAAATAATTCAAAAGTTCTAACTATTTTCGGGGTCGTTGAAGCAATCAAAAAGACCAGAAGTCCAATTCGATGGCTGAGGATGGACTGCTCCGGGTATTGGTACTACATAAGGTTGGTTAACTGTTGCATTGTTGTGGATATACGGAGGTTGACCGGGTCTGGCCATTGGTACTTGGTTTTGTTGGTTAACCATTCCACCATTGTTGGGATATTTCTGCTGCGTTTGGACCATTTGCTTTTTGTAAACCGGTGGTTCAGGTGCAGGTTGTGCATGAAACATCGGATTAAAGTTATTGTTCATTCGCGGACTCGGAGTTTGATCTGGTCGACCCATTTTGAAAATGTAAACCGAAGAGAGAATTTATTAGGGTTAGAGAT